GGATGGACAGTCGATATTGAATCCCTTGATCATGAACCGTTCGTCAGACATTTGTAGACCTTAATGATGTCGGAATTTGACGATCATGGGCTCGTTGGATTTGTCTCATCGAGCCGCTTGATTTGACTATAAGCACATCATGTTTGGAAACTGTTTGGTAACCCAAATTGTGGTTTGAACATTCCAATAGCGCTTCCAACCCTTAATTTTGACCCGTTTGGGCTCGGATTGGGCTGAATTTGGTGTCGTTGGGGGGTATTTCCGTGACATTCTGTTTGATTGTAAGTTTGCTGAAATCGGAGTTTTGATGGTCCCAATTTTAATTCTGGAAGTTTCCAACGTGATTTTGCACCGAGATTCGTGCCCAATCAAGATAATTTTTTGAGGACGTATCAGTTGCCCTCCTATTTTCGGACGACGAAGCTTCATATGTCCAAAATATTCGTGGTAGCAATTTGGAAAATTTTTGTGTGATTCGAAACTTGGAAATACTCCAAACTTGGTCGTAGAGTTCCCGAACAGCTTTAAAATTGCCAAAATTAAGTCCGGGACGTCAAAAAATGGTTCTTTGGACCTCAAATACGTCCAATTTAACCTTTTCGGACCCAAAATTGGGCCTGAGAATGCGTCACGACAGACATGCCGCCAGCGACTGCCAGTGGATGCCGCCGCTATTGCCGCGCCCCCGCGCGGAGATGCCGCGCTCTGCTTCGTGCACCCCGGCCCGCTCGCTCGACGGCTCAGCCCGCTCACCCGCTCGACGTGCAGCCTGCCTTGGCCCGCTGCCGGCCCGTCTGCCGGCTGCAGTTAGCCGCGACTAACTACCGGCGGTTAACCGCCGGCAACCTGGCGGTTAACAGAATTTTTTTTTTCTTGTAGAGCTTCAAAATAATATTTTTTTTTCTTTTTTGCGAGAACTATTATTGTAGATTTTTGAACTTATTCAAAAATCTTAGAAAGCTTTAAGCCTTGGAGGATAGCAAGTTTATATTAATCCAAAACTATCAGCAGCGCAAGCCTTAAAAGACTCTCATCAACTAAGGAATTGAAGTCACAATATTTTAATTGGGTATAATATATTGTTCCCCCTAGGGGTGTAAATAAGTCTAGCCGAGTTTCCCATGGATTGAGCTTGAGTTTGATTAATTAATCAAATTCAAGTTCGAGCCGGCTCATTTAGCTTGAAAGAAAAAAAATGACTATGATTCGAGCAATTATTATAATAAAATGGTAGCTCAAGCTTAACACGTTAGCTCATTGAGCTTGACTCACTAGCTATTTATAGAGTCACGCTCGAGCCGTCTCACAAATCAGCTTGACTCACTTACACCCGTAGTCCCAAAATAAACATATTATATATTCGTATTAACAATATAAGATTGCTATTATTATACATTTTTCAATTCGACTTATTTAAAAATCTTATAATGCTTTAAGCCTTAGAAGATAACAAGTTTTTATTAATCCAAAAATATCAAACACCACTTGCCTTAAAGCGTCTTATCAACTAAGTAATTGAGGTCATGATGTTTTAAAATGGGGTAATATATTGTCCCCTCTAGGGGTATGAACGAGTCTAGCCGAGCACGAGTCTCCCCCTAATTTGAGGTTAATTAATTAATCAAATTTGAGCTCAAGCTCAAACTTTCTTTTATGAGTCCGAGCCAGCTTGTTTAGCAGTAAAAAAAAAAATATGATTCTAACAATTATTATAATAAAATGGCTAAAAGAAGAAAAAGCTAGAGAAATAATAACAAAGAATAACTTAATATAATAATGAGCTATATTTTTTAATTATTTTTAACAACATTACATTTTAAATCATAAATGTTAATATATTTAAATGCATATTAATATTTTTTAAAAGATCTGACTCACCATCTAACTAGTCGAGTCACGATTGGCTCAACCTTGGCTCTTTAGTTCAACTGATGAGTCATTTATCAAGTCAAGTCCTGAGTCAGCATAACTCGCTTACAACCCTAATCCCCATCGCCCCAATAAAGTTTCTTCGATAAAGAAAATACCATAAATAGTACTTACACTAAGAAAACACAACACTTATCCTTGAAATAAAACATTTTCATTAAGAAAATTAATCCACGATTTGGCATATGCAATTTATTTTCTCTAAAACGAATCGTTCTAAATATTAGAATATACATCCTAATATGAAATTATAAGCTTTTATATTAATTAATTTAAAATTAATTCTAATTGAACTTTATATTTTCTTAGGAACTGTTTGATTTGCAATAAATTTAGTGTAAAATAAATTCATTATAAAATTTTAATTAATTTGAAATTCATCCTCTAATTCAATTTTGATGTATTTAAAATTCTTCAAATTTGAAGCTTGTACATCCTGGACAGCAGGCCTGTGACCCAAGAATGCCTTTGAGAATTAAATTGGAATACTAATTTATATTAAAATAATAAGATAGAATATTTAAAAGTATAATATTAATACTCAAAATTAAAAAGATATTCAAACTTAATAAAAAAATGGCATTTTTTCCCACTGACTTGCACGCTGATATATATCGAGCTTTGGCCTTTCCTATTAGGCAAGCATATTGAGAAGACAGGGTTTTCGTTAAAAAATATCAAAACAATAAGGTACACATTGCATGACAGAATCCTAAAACAAGAGGCATGCCTCTGGCCTCCAGAGAGCATTCACAAGATCAATACTTCGATTGAGTGCTGTTTGCTGGAGCCTTCTTCCCAGTATACTTCTGTTTAAAGGGAAAAAAATGCAGCTGGTCAACATTCAGGTTACTCCATAAGATTTTCACAATTAGAGCATCTTTCTTATCATATTATAATGAAATTTTTAAAACTTTTAACATTTAAGGGGAAGAAATCAATTGCAAAAGTGTGTGAATAATAGCAATAGCATCATTATGTAAGGGGTTTTATTCTCAATCCTGAAGTGTAAAACTGCCATGATGAATAAATAATAACGGATTGAAAGAGTTATTACCTGCTTGCCCAAGCTGAATGGGATATACTTGTATTTGATCATGTGCATAATCTGTCGTTTCATGGTTAAAAAGAAAAGAACGATCCAGTAGCATAGAAGAATAGGCCAAAACACAGGAACATCGAAGACAGAAAAGAAGGTCATAGCGAATGCAATGCAGATGGCTTTTGTTATGGAGTACCTGAAAAGACAACCAGTAAGATAATAATGAAATAAAGAATTCAAGTAATATCTCGCAATTCATATGAATGAATAGACTTTGAAAAAAAGAAGAAATGGGCTGCAATCACATTGTTAAAAATTACAAAAATCATATGATTCCAGTATGAAAATTGCTAATGCCAATGTCTTATTCCAGAGAGGTTCAGCATAGGAAAAAATGCCCATATCGGCTGTGCATTCCAGGAAGAAAATTTTGCCAGATTTTCAATCGGATTTTCTACCAGAAAAGCCATTTGACAAAAGTAAAGTACTTCGTAGAGAAAAATCCACTATATCTAGAGCCCGAGCCCCCCTTCTCTCCCTCAAAATTTTCCCACCTCTTGCTCTATCAACGCCGCCTGCATTCGTTACTCCCTTTCTATCATCTCCCCTCTGCCCGATTCATCCCTTTGTAGATCTCAAGGTAAAGCATGTCATCAACCTTTGATAAGCCTCAACTTTGAATTTCTTAGGTAGATTTTTCTTATATTTTTTAATGAAAATTATATATATGATTGTTAGATCTACGTTTTTTTACTTAGATTCATGCCTTCTGTAGATTCACATTAGATCTAAGTTAAAAAAAAAAAGCTAATTATTTATTTCGTTAGTTAAATTTTAAATATTAGAAATTAAATTTATTTTGGTTTATTTATGTATATTTCAAATTAAAAGTGATTTTGATGTAAGTAATTTACTTGATTGGTTGCTTTTATTTTTTCAAATTAAAATTATTTTGATATTTATATGTAATTTGTTTAATTAGTTGTATGCATGTTTCAAATTAAAATTATTTTAATATATGTATATACTTGATATCAATGTCATTGCCAGGTCCAAACTCCAAAGTCTTGGATGAGAAAAGTGGAGAGTTGCATTAAGAAATCGACGGGCAGTGTAAACTTGAATTATAGAGGCCAACCTTAAGAGTCCAAAGGTTTTCGTTTGAGTAAATCTAAAACTGAATGCATTGAGTGTAATTTTAATGCTAATAGATCTAGTGGAGGAATTTTGATTTTGGGCAATTAAGTTATTAATAATAGTACATGTTTTAGATACACTGTGTATATTGTTCAGAGTGATGGTGAAATATATGGGAATATTATCAGTAGAATTCAAGTTGGATGGTTGAAATGGAGGAATGCATCGAGCTTGTTGAGTGATAGAAAAGTCCCCCTCAAACTTAAGGGGAAATTCTATAAGATGGTGGTGAGATCTGCAATGCTTTATAGTTGAGAATGTTGGCCATTAAAAGAGAAGCATAATATTAAGTTAAGTGTTGCAGAGATGAGGATGCTTAAGTGGATGAGTGGCGATACGAAACAAGCATATACATGAAAAGGTTCGAATGGCACCAGTGGAATATGAGATTAGAGAGAGTCACATTAGAAGGTTTGGTCACATAAAATGGCGGCCTTCCGATAACCCGGATATGAGAGCGAATGCATTAGATTTGAATTATGTTAAGAAAGGTAAAGGTAGACCTAAATGACTTGGTTAGAAAATATTAGAAAGAATATTTATTTATTAGATTTAAATGAGAATTTGACTGTTAATAGAACCCAATGGAGAAAAAGGATTCATGTAACCAACCCCACATAGTGGGATAAAGGCTTCATGTTGTTGTTGTTGTTGTGTATATACTTGATGATGCATGTATGTATATAATTGATAAAAATAAATTAGATGACTAATGCATGATAGAAAGATTAACAGGTTACATCTTCAGATCTTCTGAATATCAAAATTTCATGATCATGAATGTATTAAACAAAAAGGATTAATAGCTTAAACCTTTCATGGAGTTCAATGTTCTGTATTTGTAGCTTCACAACAACTTATTTTTAGTTTCAAGTTTTTTTTTAAAGAAAAATTTTAGATGTCCTGATCTGACACAAAAATCATGTGTATTTAGCACTAGATGAATCCAGAGTTTATTTGTATCAAAGAGGATTTTAATTAGATAATTGCATTTAGGCATTTTCTTAAGAGTACAAGCAATCTATTGACACTCATTATGATGCTTCAACCAGTTATGTACCATCAAACAAAAAAACAAATAGAATGACACAAAGAAAAGAAATTTGATGTCGTTAGCCAGCAATTTAGAAGAGCTGTTGAAAGGCTTAATAACAACGAGGCTAAACAAGTTTATAATTTACAAGGTATGACACCTGAAGTAAGAATGCTCAATATCAACATAATTTGAACATTTTGAATGAATATTTCAATTAGTTTGTTGAACGTTTAGAAGAGATTAATAGAACAAATAATTTAGTTCCAACTAATTTGTACAATACCAAAAATCGATATCTAAGTTAGGCCTAAATGCACAAAAAATAGATTGTTGCACTATAGATGTACGTTGTATTATAAGAATATGTTGAAATTAAAAACAAACACTATAGAGGACCTACGTTTAAACAAAAAATTTAAAAATAGCATAAAGATATCCCACATAAGAGGTTATTTTATTCAGTCTTATTTCAAGATTAACGAAATTATTTGCATATATGAGTTCTATTTGACATTTGATATGATATCAAAAGAGAATAGGTAAACTTGGCATTTGCAGTCTTCTACGAGATGCCAAAGCATGAAAGCATTTTTATTGCACACATCCAATATTCGCTAGTTGCATGATAGTTTCACGTCCAAATATTATATGAAAATATCTAAAAAAATTTAACTTAAAGCCTATATACAACTAATTAAATAATTACATACAAATATCCAAATAATTTTAATTTTAGAACTACATATAACAAATTAAATAAATTATATACAACAAAAACAACATCAAGCCCTTTTTCCAACTACGTGGGGTCAGCTACATGAATTCTTTTTCGTCATTGTGTCCTATTAAAAGTCAATTTCTCATTTAAATTTTAATAAAGAAAGATCATTTCTAATATTTTCTAATCAAATCTTTTTAGGTCTACCTCTACCTTTCTTAACATAAGTCAGAACTAATACCTCGACTTTTCTAACCGGCTCATCGGAAGGCCTCCGTTTAATGTGACCAAACCATCTAAGACGACTCTCTCTAATCTTATCTTGCACTAGTGTACTCCAACCTTTTCACGTATATCATCATTTCGTATCCTATCTCTAAGGGTAAAGCCACTCATCCACCTAAGCATCCTCATTTGTACAACACTTAACTTAGTATTATGCTTCTCTGCAAATTAAATAAATTATATACATAAATCAAAATTAATTTAATTTAAAATATAAATACATTGAATTAATAAATCATATCCAAACATCAAATAAATTTACTTTGAAGTATTTAAATTTTAATTAACAAAAATAATATATAGCTTATCAAATAAATTGAATATTTTTGCAAAAATGAAAAAAATAAAACATGAAATAAGTACAAAAGATATGGATAAAAAAAATTATAAATCTAACAAAAAAATTATATATCTAACAATCTAACAAAAAGATACATCGAAACATAACTTACAACATGAAAATTGAAATAAAATCTGCAGACGAAATTCAAAATGAGGCTTATTGGAGGTCGAGGATGTGTTCTATCTTTAAATCTACTAAGGAGATGAGTCATCAAGCAAATTGGGCCTAATCGAGGGAAGGGAAAATGTCAGCATGGGAGAAACAAAAGAGAATGACGACTACTATGGCGAGAGGAAGAAAAGAAATGAAGGAAAGAATGGGCGCTCGATTTCTGGATATATAAGGGTATTGGCTACTTACGTCTGGTGGAAATCACAATGAATTTTTCCACCAATATGCCACCGGCATCGGCTTGCTTTGTTATTGTGGACATATATTTACTGCACTTTTTTCCTTAATGTATATTAAAATAATTCTTCTGATCTCCATCTTATGTCTTGAGAAGACCAATAAATTCAAATGAAAATATGTTCACTGCTCTTAATGCTTTTCAACTGATTGTCTTAGCACAATATATGCATATCATTTTATTTTCTAGCAAAGAATAAGCAAACCATTCCGTAAAATAATTGTTATTTATTTCCCCTTTCTAATGATTGGTATTCGTAATGGTATGCTAGTCAGTTAAATATAAAAACTCAGTTAAAAAAACCCAGCTGCTTTGGTCGATTAAATTATAAGCAGACTACATAAATTTATTAGGTTACATAATCATCACAAGTTTGACACAATCTTTCAAGAATCTTTAAGGTTAAGAAGATGTATGTATCAATATCTAGTTTTATATATATTAAAAAAACGAAATGAAATGCTTGCTAGCCTGCATGATAGATGATGCAAAACTTTTGACTGGCATCGATAGACCAAGAACAAAGACAAAATGGCAGAAGTAAATATACCAGAACTTGAATTCAGGAAGGCGACGAATAAATGGCTTGAACTCATCTGAACCTTTGGTGGGAAGAGACGCTCCATCCAAGCCCTCAATCTCCGGATCCGCAATCGGAGATAGGAACCCGATCAGCAGATTAAGCAGATAGATCCCCAAACCGTAGGTGATGATGTAAAAACCCTGAATCAAATAAACCCGTAATAGATAGATCGAAGCAACGCCAATCGTCCCCAGCCATCTTCCCAAGGGGTGAGGGGTTGAGCGATCGAGGTAGTACTGGAACTTCCGGGTGAAATCGGACTTCCATTTCTCCAAAGCAGTAGAAGCACTCGAGCCATCGCCAGAGGGTCCCTCCATAAGAAGGTAAGAATATATCCTTCTACAGATCTAGGGCAAACAAGAAAATTAAAGACAAAAATTCAGAAAATATAGCTCAATCTGCAGAATAGGGAAAGATGAATATCTTGAATGGATACAGCAGAACCAACAGGGACGAGATTTATCTCTCCGGCCACCGGAAGGAGCGGATAACGGAGGATTAATGCTATGTCTCGACGATTGGATCCAGGGTTACGGGGAAAACTTGGGTCTGACGAGGCCGGAGCGAATATTCTGCCCAAATGCTTGTTATTTGATTAATAGAAGACAAAATCCTATAACTTCTTTATAAATTTTTAAGACATTTATATTATGATTTACCTTTATTTTAAATTATTTAATATTTTTATTATTAACTTTCATTGATAGAAAACTTAATTAATTTAATTTCAATATAGAATAAATTTTGATGCTAACCCTCTTAATGCATAATTTTAAACTAAAATTCATAATATATATTTTATTTGGAACAATAGCTCCAAAATATTGTTAACACTAAAATATCGATAATTAAATTATATCAAATTATAATTATTATCATTCTAATGTATCTCTTCTTTCCTTCAAGAAATTCTTGTAAATCCATCAAACTGACCCCATTTTTCAAGCAATTCTTCGCAACACATTGCCCACCATTAAAGCAAAAAATGGGTTTAAATGCTAAGCACGTGGTTAGAATCTTAGATTTGAAACAAAAGTTTAATCTAAGTTCAAACTCACAATGTTGAGTCAAACGTGACTCGAATTTCAAATTATGTTCGGCATTAGGTTTGAGCTATACTTGATCTGAACTAATATTGTGTGTTCAAACTTTGGCTTGAAACTTAGCATTAATAGAGGGTTGAAACATATCTTATCCATATTTGAACCGAATATGAGGCACCAAGGTTCGAACCTTGGTATGGAAAGGTTTAGTAAGGTTTTAGCGTTTGAATATTGTTAACGTCTTATAAAATGTGGTTTGAATCCTATCATAAGGTTATTTATACATTTGGAATCCCTTAAAAGGGTTCAACTTGGTTCAAACCCACCTATCATGTATAGGCTTTCAATTTATTTGATTTTCTTTGTTATGGATATATATGTTAGAATGTATTATCTATATGAAGAAACATTACATAGCACATGACACATCCATAGCTACTGGTATAGTGGAACAATCAACAAAATAGTTTGAAAGTTTCAATTTAGTTCAAAGAGGTCAAAAAAGTCTCCCTTCAAGCAATCTTTTAATGCTTCTCCCTTACAATTCTCTAAAGCCTTGATTCATCAAGTGCTCGTCAGGAATTTTAATGAAGCAAAAGATAAAACCATGTTTAACATTAAAAGTAAGAATGCAATATTTGGTATATTTATATTTGCATTAATAATCATAGTGGGTTCTAGAGATTATATAGATGAAATTAAGTTTAAGAAGATGAAAAATATCATAAGGCTAATTAATAATTATGTAAATTGTAACCGCAAGTTCAAGATTATACATGTTGAGAATGCTTTCATGAAGTACACTAAGAGAGGGAATGTTTGAAATTTAGGTTTCTATTTTATTATTGATTGACTATTATTTATTCATGAGAAGAAGAATATTTTTTTTTTTTAGATGTTGGTATTATAATTTTTTTTTCTTTAGTCATTGATGTTCTCACTAGACATTTACAAGGGGATGTATTGTTTTATGTTGATGATATTCTTCTTGTTGATAAGATTAGAGAGGTGAGTTGAACCCCCCCCCCCCCCCCCCCCCCCCCAACACAACAAAGCCTTAATTTTAACGTTAAATTTGTGTAACTATCATTAAGCATTAGTTGGATTAGCCGTCCTAATATTACTATTATCTGTTTAATTCCCTATGATCATTGATGCCTTCACAATTATTAATATTTTCTTGATTACTTCTTGGAACTCTGCTTCTTATCCAATGTCCAACAACTGACAGCTGCTGTGTTTCCATTTTACATACTTCTCGTGGTTCTGGTTTTGCATAATGATTGGATTAATTTTTATTATGTGTATGTTTT